TAGTAATATGATTGTAGTTGCTGTAAATAATGGTGATCTCTCCAAGCATGGATGAATTCTGCAAGATCACCTAAATTGGACGCCCTAGTCCAGTTTCTGACAAACCTGATGATGGATCTGAATTGGTGGAATTTCCTAGAGAATGTAACGGTCTGACGCATAGATGGGTTGACAGTTCAGGGGAGTTAGCAATTCTCATGAGATGGATCTTTTGACCCAATCTTTGAATCTGGTGGCTACAGATAACACCACCAGAGACAAGGGGGAACCAAATCAAAGATCTGATCAGCTGTCATATTCCCAGGAAATTCAAGTCTTCAAGAAAGTCTTCCCTGGAGGAGTGGCAACAGAATGATCTCTCAAACCAGAGATATTCAAGAGGATAACATTGATCCTCAAGTGGATATATTTGTCATTTGCCCCTACAACAATCTCCCAGTGTATGTCAGTCCAGTTTCCGTTCCACAAGCCCGGCATGTGGACACATTATACATGAACTGGACGGGGGCGTTTGCCTATGTGTTCCCTCCATGGTCTCTGCGGAAGCTGGAGGACACGGATTGTGTAGGTATTCTCATAGCTCCTGTTTGGCCTAGCAGGGACTTGTTTCCCAGAGTGTTTCCACTTCTCACTGAAGAACCACTCAAAGTACCAGAGTGTAGAGACCTTCTCTATCAGCCCAGTTCGGACATATTGTGCAGCAACCTCCACCATCTTTTTTTTCATGTCTGGAAATTATCACATGTCAACAGATAATTATTTTGGGAAGATTTTAGAACTCTGCGTATCTATCCATTGAATTGTCTGTTCTGTTTGAGGGAACCTCTACCTCAGGTATCATTGCTTCACATATCCAGGAAGACAGCTTTTCTTCTTGCCATATCCACAGCACCTAGAGTGTTTGATATATATGCGCTAGATTTTTCTGGAATCGCTCACGCAGAGGATTGGATCTCCATGTCTATCAGAGTTCTCTGAGATTTGCAGCCAAGAACCAGTTGGTACCACTGTAAAACTGTGGGTCAGCCTAATTGGCTTCTATGCCCAATTTGAGTACTCATGTACTCATGTTTTATCTGGCATCAATAAAGCTGTAGTCTCCCAGTAGCCTCCGTCGTATGCAAATATAAAGTTAGTACAGTGGAAGGCCATGATGTGTTGGCTAATGTCTCTGACATCTTATGGATTAGTCCTTTTAAGGTGATTTAGTTACAATGTTTACCTGATTTTTGTTTCATCGCCTTTTGACAAACGTTTGGATTTATTGGATACTCACAGACGACTGTTAACATTTAGCCTGCTGAGTTGTTTTCACACTTCATACCCCAGCCTGCTGGATTAGTTTAAGCATAAGGGGCTATAAGGAGGGGGGTGATTTCACAGTTGAGGCTTCATTAAAGATGGGACGAATGAACCAATATTTCGCACATTTATTCCTGATAATAAAATACACATCATTATAAAAAAATATCATTTTCAAACATATAGAGGTTAAGATCAAAGCGGACATATAATTTGCAAATTTTCTTGAACTTACCTCAATTACTTGACTGAATGTGGAATTCACATGACCCAACGGATTGTTTACGTTTTGCAACCAACTCAAAGTTCTAAAAATCTCAAAATGATCAGCAGGTTGTCCCAGAGTTTTTCAAGGAGTTATTAATTAATGAAATCTTATAAATATTCAAACACAGATTCATTGATCAATTCTGAAGGAACCAATGTACTGTACAATATTCCTATCCAAACAACTTTGCAGCGATGTTTCCTTGGCTGAATGATGGAAGTATGTGTCGTTCTCCAGTTGAGGCATAGCCAGTTCTTTGAATGAGCATTCCCATGCTAAATATACAGTTAAATTTTAAAGACAAATTTCTTCAATTCCAGGTTAACTCGATGTATGCAAACTTCAGTATATTACTGATCATATTTCAACATGGCCACATCGCCACCATTATGTTTTTGAACTTGACCTGTGCATGTTGCACTGATGCCAAAACCGCTGCCATGTGCAATGAGCTATACTTTCTTAAGTAATGGATATTTTCTATCTATTATATATTGATGAGAAATCCATCAAATTTCGAGCATTTTGTAAAGCATGTGATTCTAGCAGTTGGAATGTGTTCTCTCTTATAAAAAATTTGTAATTGACATGTCTCTACTGAATATGGACATGCAATTTTCTAGTGACAATTGAGTGACATGCACTGGCGTACTTGGTTGGCCTGCATGGCTATTGTCGCGACACAGGGTTAAATGTCAAAAGATTACTAGATTTCAGAAACCACAGGTCCCGCTGGTATATACTGGATATTCACAGGAATTATCAAACGATAATTATCATTGTTAATAATTGTACAAACACTACCTCTCTAAAATCAGAAGTAATCATGCCCACCTTCCAAATTATCTGCATCTAGATTGTTTAAGGTTTCCTACCTTGCACATGCACAAGACTCATGGGAAGCAGGATACTGTTTCCCCCTGCACAACTGTATATGGATAGTTGACAGTGAAGAGGACCTCTGTTGAAATCTTTTAGATTTTTTAGAGTGATTACAGCTAAATTACAGGATTAATGCCATTAGTAGTAGTACAGTATTGTAGTAAAGAGGTAGTATTCTTAGAATAATAGCAATGATAACTATTCTTTGATTATTGTGAGTATTAACACTAGGGGAGGGAAGTGTTACCAGATGTATTGGAGAAGGCATGTTACCATATAAGTCAAGTATTACGGTAATTGTAGTAATCTACACTTGTTTAAATCATAAATGAATGGCTAAATTTGATGCATGGGGTAACTGATTGAGCATACTTTAGGGGAATAAAAATCAAATGGAAGTGGTAAAAACATTTGAATACTTTTGACAATTGATAACAATCTTATGCTATCAGCCTGACCTACTTTCAGTGAGGAAGCATATGCTATTTTTCTGTTGTTACATTGAATTCCACCTGGGGACATTATTTTCAACTAGAAGTAATCAAGCATGTGATCAGCTGAAATTGAGACTGAAAGTAATTATACTGGAAGTGCATGTAATTTTCTTATTAAGGTAGCTTCAGGCATCCTGTTTTAAGGAGGACTTGCATCAGACTTGCATTTTCCCAAACTGGAAGTGCAGTTATTAAACCGGAAGTGCATTGCACTTTTTGTTTTAAAGTCGTAAAGTGTTTGGCAATTATTTTCCCAAGTGATCTCATTCAACTGCGTATTACTGTTCCTAACACTGGAAGTGATGTCAAGCCAGAAATGCTTCTGACTTGTTTTAGGTAGCAAGAGGCATCAGACTTTCTGGTTCCAAGTTCTAATGCATTAGGCAAGTCAAAAGTGATGCCATTAAACTCAAGCTAGGCTACAAACTATATGCTAGAGACAAAGGACTAAGTTGTACTGCATTTGACAATACAAGGGATCAAACATGAATATGTGTAGATATTAGGGATGTCAGATGTCACTTGATTTGGACAAGTCAAATTGGTTCCTGATATGTATCTGATGCTTCTGCTGGGAAAGTTTTATGGCATTCAGGAACAGGTGAGGTTACAGCTGATCCTGGTTTTGCATGTAATGCAAACACCTTATCGGTTTTTATCAGCTCACCTGGGACCTTATGTCATAGTCCTTATGGGTCAATAAACATTTTACATTTCTTCTCTAAAATGGCTTTATGGATTTTGCTGGAATTTTGTGTGGATGTTTTTTCACTAGTAACGTACAAGCCTGTTGAAGACATTAACATTGGAATTTCAATATTGGCAAAAAATAATCATAAAATCTTCTTCTCAAAACTTAAAGGTTCAACAACACAAGTTCAGGATCAATTATTAAGAAACCAGGAAATCTGAGCCCTAACAGCTAATAAAATCGCAGTTCACTTACGCCAGGCAACCAGAGTTCAAGCTCCTGACCAGATGATCAGAACTCGTCTCATGCATGTAATCTGTATGCTCAGCAACCGCTTGCTGTAACACCATTAACAAATCGAGACATTCGAGCTAGACACCAAGTGTTTTTGGATGTTTTCCAGATTCAGTCTGGACTCTCTGGATATGTGTAGATGTGGTTGGAGGCCTCCCATCGAACACCATTCCAACATCAGTAATGATATAGGGTGGGATTACTATGACTACCAGAACGCCACTGCATATTGTCCATAGAAGGGTCACTGAACAGTGCTACCGAGACAACCTACGGGCAACAATAGTTGTGCTGTTCACACTCCATGTTAGTGTATGATTTGTCTTTCAAGAGCCTTTAAAGAATTGACACAGCAAGTCAATTTCATTAAGACCCTCCCTTAATAGGATGCATTGCATGTGCATGAATTCATTTTAAGAGCTTTGCAAGTCAGACTAATTGCAAGTTGGGGCTTTAAATTTATGCCAATGTTTGATAACTCCAGACAATTTAATACAATTATTTGGACATTTTAATGATCATTATGCTATATTAATATTTTCCTCTGGAAATGATATCTTATTTCTCTTGTCACCCTGAAGCGTAGACATTCAGAAGAGGCTTGATGTGCAGACTCAGTGTTGGTGTTGGATGGGGGTGAACCATGAGAAAATGTAACACAAAATGGGGTGGGTGGGGGGTTGTCAGCAAAACATGAAACAGACCAATCCCATCAGCCCACTACCCATATGATAAATTACCAGTGCCTTACAAAAAAAAAATTCCTTTGGTTTATAAAAAGCTCATGGTAAATTTTACTATTGCGCATTGCAGTAGTGTTTGAATATATAGAAACATTGTGGAAATTTAGTTTGTTCATACTTTTGTCAGTATTAATGCAGACAATATTTGGATGCAATGCTGACAGCTACTTTTGTTTAGTGGCTGTCATGTTGATGTTTTAAACTGTTGACAACATATCCAGGTGAGCTACATCGCTGTGGTACTATTTCAGCAGTTGGGCCTTTCTATTTAGAAAATGTATGTTAATCCTATGCTCTCACCACATACATCTGTTTTGTTGTTGTAGGAACTCCAGGAAGAGAAGTAAACTTCAATGACAAGACACGGAATTTTTCTTCTCACTCTACAAAATTGGCTGATACAGCTAACATGGTGGCTACAGCAGGAGGCTGCCGAAGCAAGAAGACAGTCCAGTCCATATTTGATTCCTCAGCTCAGGTGATAAACCATTGTTTACAAACTACTGCCTTTCACAAGGAAACCTGATACCATTAACATAACATGTACTTAATTCATGAACCCCACCACAAGGTAGTTGGGGCATGTACAGGCTTCACCTCCATACACATTTCTGTCTTGTCCAATTTCAATGGAGACAAGCTAAGGACACCAGCATGTCATACACCATTAAAGGAGAACACTCAAAAAACATTTCTTTCATTTGCTGACTTATTTCTTAATATTAATTTTGATTAATTCTTTATATGATACTGATATTTGACCTCCCCACTGAATTTGGTACGACCCATATTTCATGACATTGGCGAAAGGTTTCTGATTAATAGTACTGAAACATCAGCCGACTAATCGAAATATAGGTACGGGGGCTGGTAAAAAAGTTCTAAGCCTGACTAACTTTCAACTACATAACAAAATGAACTAGTCAGTGTAGAACATTGTTTGAGCATTTCATTGCAAGTGTATTTGGTCTGTTGAGGCCGTTTGTAAATTAGTGACAGCCAGTTGAACATGAAAGCAGTCCAAATTGACACAGAAATGGAAGAGAATGAATGCAGAGCAGTCGTCAAGTTTTTACTTTAGAGAAAAGTACACCCCAAGAAATCAATGACCGCATGTCAAAAGTGTATGGGGATAAGTGCCCTAGCTATTCCACTGTTAAACATTGGGCAGCTATGTTTAAGGCTGGGATAACAAGCCTTGATGATGACCCTATGTCTGGATCAAGGAGAAAGAAAAACTATATTGTCAGATAGATGTATTACCATTACTGTACTTGAGGAAGACACAGGTCTAAGGTATGAATCCATTGAAACTATTATTCATGAACATTTACAGATGAATAAGATATCTGCTCATTGAGTTCCAAAGTTTCTAGATTCTGATTTTAAGGAAAAAAGAACTGACATTGCCAGAGAAAATTTAGAGCTAATTGAGGAAAAAGAGATTAGTAACAGGTTTTGAAACATGGGTCTACCACTATGATCCCGAGTCAAAACGTCATTCCATGGAATGGCACTATTCCACTTCTCTGGCACCAAAAAAATACAATTCAAGTTTTCAAGATACTATTTTTCAGTATTCCTAGTGCCCCAAAGAACATGTCATGGGTGCGTATGATTATCGACCTGAAGACTTATCAGTATGTCTACCCTAGTTCCAGATGGAATCCATCAAAAAGCTCAGAACCGGTCTCAGGCCGGGGGACTGGTTAGTCAGCTTAGACTTACAGGATGCTTATCTTCATCTCCCCATCCATCATGCAACCTTTCTGTTTTGCCATCAATGGAAGGAGATACAAATTTATTTTTCTCCCAATTGGTGTATCAATAGCAACACATCTGATCGGCTTTACTCATCTTCTTGCGAGATTGCACGATTAGATCGACGATTTCCTCTCTGCCGATCTCGACAAGCAGCAACTCAAACAGAATACGATCTTCTTAACACAGCAGCTGTTCTACCTAGGATTTCGTGTTCATCAAATCAAGTCAAGAGTTCCGGCCCATACAGGACATTGTGTACATTGGGGCCAGATTTCAGTTAAGTTGGTGTATTCTGGGACCCCTAGAGGACCGTTAGAAAACTTGACGAGATCTCTATATCTCAGATTGACTTTGGTGGATGGAGTTACAGTGATGGATGGACTGGATCAATGTCATGGCAGGCATTCCCCAGACTTTTCCTCCACCAGACCACCACCTCTACACAAACACATCCGGAGATGGATCGGATGCTCAGATGGATGGCGCTAAAGTCCACGGCCCATGGATGATGGGGTATCTCTACATCCCTCAGGCTTAAAGTAGATAAGGACGACTTGGGACATTTGATATTTGTATGTGTCTCAACCACAAACTTCCTGTATATGTCGATGCAGTTCCAGACCCATATGTTCTCTACTTGGATGCAAATCATGCCCCAAAACTTCATTTCTTTCTTGTCTAGGGTGATTATTCTATTGAATACAATACATGACACCTCCCTATTCTTTATTGCTATGACATAATATCGGCTGAAAGCTGTTGACTCCCTAACTTGAAGCCAACTGGCCACAAATGGCAGACACCAGACACACACAGAATCGATGTGTGTCAGAAAGCAGCTCTCTGATTGGTCAATATTTTATGTGTGCTGTCAACTTGTCAATGCAGAGAGTGATTGCAGACTGAGTACATTCAGTGAGGTAAAGGGTTAGAGGGTTAGCTTGGCCATAACACAGTACTCCCATAACGCAGTACTCCAACATCGCAGAACTACCAAAACGCAGACCAGAAATTGATTTCTATTACATAATGCATACTGGTTTGACCTTACTAATGAATAGATCATTCAAAAATTCTAGACACCTAATGAAGTTTAAGTTTCTTGTATTTAGGATATATATATGAAGATGAATGGGTCATTATGTTTTAACAAGAACTAGAGTAGATGAAGTCAGATGGCTAATCCCTCAACTCTTCTATCAGGTTTAGGGGCAGTTGGGTAGCCCAGTGGTTAAAGCGTTAGCTCATCAGCAGTTGAAGTTCTTCAGTCTGCAGACAAGATCTACATGGATGACACTTTCGCTATTCAGCCTGTTGAAGACCCATGTGCAGCCTATTCCCAACAGACCTTTCGCCCAAGCATCTATCCAGAAAGATTTTAAAATCACAGCCATCCTAGCCACAGAGATAGAATATCCTAAGGCTGAAGTGAAGGGCTCTCTCTTCCACTTTTCTCAGGCAATATGGAGGAAGATCCAGGACTTCAGCCTAGCTGTCTCCCCCTAAGAGAATCCTGACGTCCCGTCAATGGATCCGAAGAGTTGCTGGACTTCCCATCCTTGAAGTCCAAGATGCCTGGTTAGATGCCATCAAATCTACTTCAGATGTTCCCTGACCTGATGAGACAAATGACTACATGAGTGGAAGATAAGCCCCGCTTTCCATAGAGGCCGAGGAATCACCACTCTGCTGTTTGGCCCAGAACAAATCACAACCTTGAAGGATTACGCATGACGAACAAGACGGAAAAAAACACTGTTGAAATCACTGATTGCCATGGATGTTTTAATAAATCCTATTCTTAAAATGCAATTATGCCGACCGTACACCAGTATATTGTATGGTCAGTCATATTAACCTGTCAGATCACTCGTATAAGCTCCGCCCACTCAGAGTGTGGTAGTTGTTACCGCAAATGCCCCTTTAAGGCGCTGATAAATATAGGTAGTATTCTTGGAATTATCAACAATAATAGTTATTGTTTAATGTCTTGATGAAAAATTCTCATTTTTGTCATGTTTTGACATTTTAGAGCATGTGATTCTGTCAATCAAAGCATGTTGTTAGTTGTGACGTCATATCCAATGGCAGTTGACATGCCGTTGCCGAAGCTGAGTAAACAATTTTTCCCATGCACAGGATTGAAGTAGTGTGAGGCAAATGGAATGATGGATTGTATCTATATGATAATTTGGGGTTGCTTCTGTTTTCATGACCATCTCTTAGCCATTTTGTTCAAAATATAATGAAATTTGGTATGTTTAGTTAGTCGTGTGATTCAATGCTCTTGAATTCTCTCTGGTGTAGTAAATAACTTCTCTGAAATTGCTCGCCTGAGGAAGTATTTATCAAGACAATATTTGAATATCAATCAGGGTTTCAGATGGCCGTCGGTCACCGGTCATAGACCGATAAAATTTCTATTTGACCGATGGTTTGTTTAAGTTGTTGGACTTTTGACCGATAGAAATGCTAAGCAAGCCGTCACACGTGTCATAATTTCATGATTAAATAGTAGGGATTATTCCACTCAGGGTATCGATTTTAATGCCTGATGAAATGCTCTCATAAAGTTTAGTGCCAATCGAGAGAATGTACAGTACACATATTGTCCTGTTTTCGATCCGAGCTTTCAGCATCATATACAGTGAGTGTTCTCTCGCTATTGCGCCCGTCAATAATAGCGCTTACTCGGTTATAGCGGGTGGTAAAGCATGGTCCCAAAATTTACTTATGTTTATAATAAACTCAAGTTTTCCAATGACACTATGTTTTCCCCCAAACTCAAAAAAACATAATCAACTGATCACCGCGATCACGTAACACCGGAAATACCAGTCAACAAATCCGAACTGAAGTACGCAATTTAATCCTATTATTATAATATCTGGTTATAAAAAGGTGTTCATTGTTTATCTGGACTTATGTTTGCCATATATCTTATAGATTTTATTAAAAAATTTATTCAATAATTATAATAATTTTGGCGAAATCGTATGCGAAGTGATTGGTAGATCGCACAACTCACCGTTATTTACAGCAACCACGGTCAGATTACCGCTATTGACGCCTTGAAACGAACTTTATTTGCCAGAGAATGGATACACATATCATAAATGCCATACCTTGACTCATTTAAAGTCATATTTGGGGCAATTTGACTATTAAATGTCAACATAACACTTTCGCAATCGAAATACATGTAGCGCGGGAAGTCCCTTCGGTGACTGGTCAATTTGTTTAATACGTAAATAATTAGATCTAACAATGTGAAATCACCGCAAAAACGCTGAAAATCGCGTTATTTAAAACAGTGGTCCTCGAAAAGAGTCATCTTCCTCGTAAAAATATAATCAAAGATTAAAAAAAATACTCCGAAAATATCGTGTTTCCGGAGAACCGTCGCGGATTGTCCTGTTTTAGATCAGAACTTTCAGCATCAATTATGCCTTTATTATTATTCATGACACAATACTATTATCGTCGGATCATAGGTTTTCGGACATCATACATTTTCAATCACGAATACTTGCACCATAACGGTAGGTGTCACGCAGAAATTATAAATACTCAGATGATGGCTTGATTCTAAGATTAAGTTGTCCTTTATGAATAAGTGAATGAGAAGTTTTACACTTACAGTTGTTCATGTGATCAGCGAGAAAACTATGACTGTTTCTTCAGTTTCCGAAAACCCATAACCCTGGATATGTGTTGAAATAATGTCATGTTTGCAATGTTTTTTTCAACAAAAGGTAAGTAAGTACAAGGCTATTTAAAAAAAATATATATTTCAACATGGGGAAAGGTCAGACATTGCACGCTTGTGACATTTGTCCTTGTGTCTGGGGGATAGGGGGTGAAGTTGATGGCAGTATTGCTCCCAGACCCGGCGGGTAGCCGGGTGTGCGGAAGCTATGCCCGATTTTTTAAAAGTACTGATTCAACTTCGAAATTTTACTGCATCCGGAATCTTTGTTTAAGTGACTTGTTGACTTTTGCCACTGACTTATTACATTTCTTGGGTCCAAGTCATTGACCTGTATACAGCTTTTTGTGTCAAAATCACTGTCAATACTGACAGCACCTTCTGTGAAGGAGATGTCTATGTTGTCATTATATACTGTTGACTACCCTTCTGTGGCACCTTTTTTTCATATATATAACTAATATGTCTATCTCATAATTATTTCTATCTCATGGTTACAGGTTAAAGATCTTACACCTCAAGTCATAAATGCTGCCAGGGTAGTTTTCCAAAATCCAAACAATCCTGCAGCACAGGAACATTATGATCTCCTCAAAAAGCACTGGACAGACAACATGGAACGCCTGCGCGCTCTTGTAGATGAAGCAGTAGATACAACAGCTCTCATAAAGGCTGAAGGTAAATTAATTTTGACTTATTTCAATCAATTATATGTGTTTTGCAGTGGAATGAAAATACAGTTTTGTAATCACCTTTTATTATCCCACAATTAGTATTTACATACATAGCAATTAAAGGCAAAACACTACACAAATATTGTAGTATTTCCTTTTCTAAAGCAGTCCTAATGTGACTGAAGGTTAAACTGTAACCAACGATGTCAGTCTAACTATTTGTTCTAACATCTAGCCACCACGATGGTTGGTGCTAGACTCCTTTAAAGCTTTTTTAACATGCTTTTATATCAAATATTCATGAAAATCATGTGCATTTCAATGTTCTCCTCGAAGCTGAATGCGTTTTAGAGTTCATTTTCCGAACACATATAACAGTCACTGAACATTCCTCCTGAACATTCCTCCGATACACTGAATTCACGTGCACCGTAAACATCATTCTGCGAAGAAAAAGACATTGTTGTATTTTTACTGCACAACCAACTATCCACAAACAGTTCTTCAGTCCAATATGTATTTCAGTCATCCTGCAAACATTCACTTTTCAGCATCTGCAGGGTCACAGAAGTATACTAAGTAAAAAAACAAGTCCATGTTTTGTCAAATAAATCTATTGTCCTTTGACTGAAAGTCAAGAGAGCTTGTGTCATGGCCTGCTCTTCAAGATCAGCAGCACCAGTGGTGTCTGTAAACAGCTCCTGTGAAACTGAAGATGCTTCTTACCAATGATGACATCTGAATTTGTAAGAGAAGTTCAAATCTGATCTTCAAAATGGCCACAACAGCAACCATATTGTAAATATCTATATATTGCCACGGCATGGAAATTTGTTTTTTCAAAAGTAATAAAATTTGGTTTCTATGATGCTGCTCTAAAGATATCAGAGACACCGATAGAACTTGATCCTTTTTTATCCCCCGCCGCGCGAAAGCACGAAGCGGGGGATATAGTATTCACGACCGTCCGTACGTCCGTCCGTACGTCCCACCTGTTTGTTGCCGCGATATCTCAAGAACTAAACACTGGATTGTCTTCATATTTGGAACTATGGTGTATATACAGACTCCGCAGACACCAGTCGGTTTTGGTGACCTTGATCCCATTTTCAAGGTCACAGCAGACAAATCTGCTTTTAGAGTTGGAAAACAGTGTTGCCGCGATATCTCAAGAACTAAACACTGGATTGTCTTCATATTTGGAACTATGGTGTATATACAGACTCCGCAGACACCAGTCAGTTTTGGTGACCTTGACCCCATTTTAAAGGTCACAGCAGGCATATCTGCTTTTGGAGTTGGAAAACAGTGTTGCCGCGATATCTCAAGAACTAAACACTGGATTGTCTTCATATTTGGAACTATGGTGTATATACAGACTCCGCAGACACCAGTCGGTTTTGGTGACCTTGATCCCATTTTCAAGGTCACAGCAGACAAATCTGCTTTTAGAGTTGGAAAACGGTGTTGCCGCGATATCTCAAGAACTAAACACTGGATTGTCTTCATATTTGGAACTATGGTGTATATACAGACTCCGCAGACACCAGTCGGTTTTGGTGACCTTGATCCCATTTTCAAGGTCACAGCAGGCAAATCTGCTTTTAGAGTTGGAAAACGGTGTTGCCGCGATATCTCAAGAACTAAACACTGGATTGTCTTCATATTTGGAACTATAGTGTATATACAGACTCCGCAGACACCAGTCGGTTTTGGTGACCTTGATCCCATTTTCAAGGTCACAGCAGGCAAATCTGCTTTTAGAGTTGGAAAACGGTGTTGCCGCGATATCTCAAGAACTAAACACTGGATTGTCTTCATATTTGGAACTATGGTGTATATACAGACTCCGCAGACACCAGTCGGTTTTGGTGACCTTGATCCCATTTTCAAGGTCACAGCAGACAAATCTGCTTTTAGAGTTGGAAAACGGTGTTGCCGCGATATCTCAAGAACTAAACACTGGATTGTCTTCATATTTGGAACTATAGTGTATATACAGACTCCGCAGACACCAGTCGGTTTTGGTGACCTTGATCCCATTTTCAAGGTCACAGCAGGCAAATCTGCTTTTAGAGTTGGAAAACGGTGTTGCCGCGATATCTCAAGAACTCAACCTCTCGATTGTCTTCATATTTGGAACTATGGTGTATATACAGACACCGCAGACACCAGTCGGTTTTGGTGACCTTGACCCCATTTTCAAGGTCACAGCAGGCAAATCTGCTTTTGGAGTTAGAAAACGGTGTTGCCGCGATATCTCAAGAACTAATCGCTGGATTGTCTTCATATTTGGAACTAAAGTGTATATACAGACACCGCATACACCTGTCAGATTTGGTGACCTTGACCCCATTTTCAAGGTCACAGCAGGCAAATCTGTTTTTGGAGTTGGAAAACGGTGTTGCCACAATATCTCAAGAACTAATCGCTGGATTGTCTTCATATTTGGTACTATGGTGTATATGGCGGGGGATATTTCGTCACTCTGTGACAAATGCTTGTTAATGTTGATGTCATGATTGTGCTCACCTTTCTCCACCATGGTCTAGCATATCCTTCCTAACATTATCCTTTCATTCCTGTGTATCAAACTTGTGTATGCACATCATTTATCAATCAATGACATAGTTTCTTTTAATCTCAACTTTGATGACATCAATGATGATGTGCTATTCAGCATTCTGTTCTGTGAGACTGACATGGAGACTCCTTCCTTAATACCTGAAACTGATATTGAACCCTGTCGCTTGTCCAGTGCCAGCAAAATTAACTAGTGTTTAGTTTTAAAACATGTAATGAAACCATTCGAAAGTGGGTATAAAGTGGGCAAACAAAATAATTCTAGCAAATACAAATCCTCTATTACATCAGTGCCAAAAATATTGTATTTTGACTTATCATCATTCTTTGAATTCTTTATATTTTCAACAGAAGTCCTCTTGGCTGTTGCCTATATATAACTAGTTAATTATAAGGTACTAATAGTATTGCCCCATCTGAACCCTGCACATGCGCAGTCAGTAACCTTGCATCTTTCTTTGATGTGCTTTATTCAACAGCTTGAAAAAGAAAAAAAAATTACATTCTTTTTCTGTGGTTGTACATAGAACTAACTCTGTCATACATCCCCTATTAAATTATGTGTTTCTTAAGGACAGGAGATACACCAAAAATATCATCGTACAAAAACGCTTTAGGCAGTTGAGTGATTTGGTTTGCTTTTTGCATTGTTTTGGGTAAGTATCCATTCGATAGATCAGTTACTGGCAATGCTGGTTTCAAATTTTGATATTGGTAAACATGATCTTATAAGTTTCTAATATATTCACAAGAACGTGTTATCTTCAATTCATTAACTTGAACTTGGACATGTGTTCAGGAAGTGGAGTTGAGGTTCTGATGTCATTGATATCACAGTTCGTGAGGTCTCAATACACCACACATGATGCTTCTCTCTATTGTTTGTAGAGGCTAATGTATTCATATAAAGTCAAGTTCATGGTACATGTTTTGGGTGGGAAAGTTTGGGGGCATTCAGCAAAAGGTTTCCAAGTTGTAATGCATTAGGCATGTATTTTACCAGTTATGGGCCAGGAACGCCACATTTGAATATCAGATAGTCCCGGCAAAGCCAAACACATATTTCAAGGGATTCTGCTTTTGGCACTACGAGCACCACGTCAATGGATTAGGCATGAAAGCGGTGAACCATGAATGCATACCGTTTTATGATATAAACAAGGCATATGGAATTACATTAATAGAAATATGCTTTATGATATACACGAGTTATTCAGAAATAGTACAAATACATAAAGTGCATAAAACAAGACTAAAAGTAATTTAGACAGATCACGACATTAACAATTTGCAGCTAATTGGGAGTGATCCTGTGCCTGACACAGAAGCGCTTAAGAAGATCAAAAGTCTGTAGCAAGACCATATTACAAACTTTTCAAAGAAACTTTTCAGAGTCAAGGTTGTCATAAATATATGTAAGAGATCTATCCAGTTGCAATCCTGGAAAGCTGCAGGAGATAAGCCTTCTAAAGGATCCATGTATAGAATTGTAAAAAATGAAATTTTGTGAAAACTATTTAATTAATAGAATGAAAACTTTGGAGAATTTTACATAAGTTCATAACCTCCAATCACAATTTACTAGTTGAAACATGCCGATGGAGGAAAATACAATTAACTGAAAGAATTGCCCACTCAGCCAATTGTAACACATAGGGGATGAATTTTAATATTTGTTTATCTGTCCTTCATTTGAGAAAGATAGGAAATAATGCATTCATAAATATTATTATATTATAACTAACATGTTTTAAATGAATTTACATTTTAGTAGCTAAAGATTAGAAACTTTGGGAGAACTATATAAGCTGTGTAAAATAATCAAGGTTAAGTTTATACCTGGAAAGAATACTTCATAAGTGTTTGTACAAATTTTCAGTAGTGTTCTGCACCTGATCCGACTGCTCAGAAAAGATGTTTAAGACAATGTAATATTTTCTGTTCATTCGGAATTGTTTCACCTAGACTGAACATTGATATCAATATGTGCATTTTAACATTTTAAACATCTGAACATAACATGCATTAATTAAACATACACTACGGTAATGAAACTGAGCGGTACTCCTTTGTTCTCTTTTTATTTACCTGGTCCCGGGAACACCAAGTCCCGTCAATTAACCATGTCTGAGCCCTTACTGGTCCCTGGAGTAGCATGATGAGTTTTCCACCTATATACCAAATGTGGTGCTCCCAGCCCAACACCACTTTGCCAAGGCAGAAGTGATGCCATTAAACTAAGCTAGGCTATAAACTATAAGCTAGAAACATAGGACTAAGTTCTACTGCATTTGACAACATTAGGGATCAAACATGAACATTGTAATAATCTCCTACTTTCATGTAAACTATTTTGTCAGAAAAGTATTTTCATTTTTCTTTCAAGTGAAAACTTATGTGTGATATACACTACATTTCATA